CAGTGCTCAAATTTCCACCAATAGAAATGGATGTCAGATACTTGTATTGAAAAAAAAGAAGATACAAGGTTTTGCACCAAGAACTACAAGATAAATCTGAAATCCGACAGTAGAGCAATTTGATATGATTGAAATAGCAGGACAGAAATGAAATATACCTAAGGAAGATCTGATGGTGGCATTAACAGAATAACCATCCTCAAGAAGTCTCTTGATAATCCAAGAAGCGATAAAGCCAGTCCCACCAGTAACACATATTCTTCCTTTTCCCTCTTCCGTTCCAGTTTCAAGCCAAGACACAGACTAAGAGAGTGTTTGGATGGAACCAAACTATGGTTTGGAGAATAGTTTCTGGAGAATAGACTATAGAAAAAATAGATTTTGTGAAAAAGTGATTCTGATAAATGAGAGTGTTTAGATAGTTGTTGTCAAAAGAACTTTTTATATGTACAAATTTTACTAAAAAATGTATAAGTTAATATGATAATTACATAAAAGATAGATTTTATAATATATTTTAATTTGAAAAAATAAAATTGTTAATAATATATAAAATAATATAATTAATATGTATATATTTATAAAATATAAGATTAAATATGTTTATAAAAAAATAATTGAGGAATGTTAAAATTATATTATCGTTGAGATCTACCTTACAGGTACAATCATACTCTCTCATTTGAGTCAGAAGTAGAATGAATTCACTTCTTCTGAAACCATAGTTTTGAATTCTAAACCATGGTTTTGATCCAAAACCATGGTTTCTGTTTTTTCCTGGGTGTTTGGCAAGTCTGAGACGCAAACTATGGTTTGGGTTCCAAAACCATGATTTCTATGTTATCCAAACAAGCCCTAACAGAGATTCAGAGGAGAGATCTTAAATGGGTCGTGAATACATATACACACATTAAATATCTGCAGCTCTCTCCATTTCTGGTTGACATGGGGCTTTGCAATTCGTAGTGTTGTCAGTGAGTTATCCATCGTTTCAGAAGTTACATCTTCAATGTTGAGAACTTTACTTGCAGGTAAGTAGATAGTTTAACTCCTGAACAAAACAGAACTTTATTTGTTTTTCTTTCCATTTTCCATATTATATTCTTGTATATTTTTAGTATCTCGTTTAGGAGTTAAGTTTTATCTAATTTGTTTTAAACAGTGCATAATTCATTACTTTCATAATTTCATTAATTAAAGGCGTCCGTTTTTATCTACCAGACCGGTATTATTAACTAAGGGAATCTTCTCGGGGGTCCAAAAAAAAAAGGGACGGGAAAGAAGAGAAAAAGAAGAGAAAGAAAACGGATAACCTCAAACCTTTTATCTAACCGTATCCCTCTTCTTTAGGGCCTGTTTGGTTTAAGGAGAGGGTAAGGGTAGGAAGGGGAAGCAGACGTTTTATCCTTGCTTTCTTTGGTTTGATTAGAAAAAAAAGGAGGGGAAGATATTTAATGATCCCTAGTTTAGTTTAAGGAGGGAAAGGGAGGGATAGTAATAATCAATTTACCATTTTACCCTTACATATTAGTTTATATTTTTTATTGATATATTTATAAATTAATTTACATCTTAATTTAAATTATATAATTTAATAAAATTCAGTCTTATCATGTTAATATGTGCATTAAAAATTTGGTACAGTAATTTAGTATTCTAATTAATATAATAATATATTTAAAATAATCAAATTAACAAATTTTATTTGCTCTAAGAAAAATAAAATTTTATTTTCTTTAGGTTATCTTTTTTTTTGTTTCAGTTTTAAAATATATTTAATAAATAATATATTTGTAAAAAACAATTAATTTTATAATATTATAATTTTTATTTAAATAATTTTTTATTTTTAAATAATTTTTTATAATATATTTTTAATTATAATAATTTATATTTTTATATTTTTTTACTTAGAATAATATTTTTATTTGAAATAAATATTATAATAATATATTTTATAGATAGAAGTGGAATATTTAAAAAACTATAAGGATATAATGGTCTAAAAATTTAGCTCCTTTCCAAAAACCCTCAATTTGGAGGGGAGCTAAAATGGGAAAGGGGAGGGGAGAAGACATTTTGGCTTCCCAACCCTTCAAAATTTTTAACCAAATAAGGGGAGGGACCCCTCCAACCAAACACACCCTTAGGGCGACTAGTAAAAGGCCAAAAAACAAAAAAAGACCCTCTTAAAATGGTGCCCGTTTAGCCAACCAAATTAGCACTTTCATTAGCCTTCTTCTAAGCATAGCCCATATTAATATTCCAGTCGTGTGCCAACCAAGCGATGTACTCCTCTCATTCTATTTATAAGGCAGAAAGAAAAAATATTTTTTGTTTCTATTTATAGGATATTAAGAGAAATTTTTTGTATGAATGTACAATTTTATTTCTCATTTATTGTTGTATTGATTTTAATTACATGATGTATAATGTATATTAAGTAAGGATAAAGTTAAAAAGTTATTAAAGTTTAAATGAGAGTTAATAAAATTTAAGGTTTTTCTTGATCTATGTGAAATATGCTGGAAGTATCTTTTAAATAAAACCAGAGGAGTAATTATCAATAATATAAACATTTCAAAAAATTAACACAAATGCACCCAAAGCCTGTTATATCTATCCAATTATACTGGTCCTAAATATAAAATCTAGTTTATAATACAAATCTTATACTCTCACCAGTTTTGTTTATAAGCTTCAAATTTGTAGAGGATCTGATCCATTTTATAAACTTCAATTTAGAGTTTGTCTAAACATTTCATATATTTATATATATTTTTAATTTTGTCCTTAATTATCTATTTTCTCTCCTTTGTCATACCCTCTTGTCGCATCTCCCCAAGTAGTACTGGGAAAACGGGCCGGCCCGTGACAGGCTCGGGCTTAAACGGGCAGGCCCATTTAAGCCCGAGTTCCAAAAATAAGTCATTTTTTCAAGCCCGGCCCGTGAGATGACGGGCTTAGGCTAGCCCGCAGGCTTCTGGTCTTTTTAATTAAAATAATTATTTTTATTTTTTTTGTATATTTTATCAAAATAATAAAAATGAAACAATAAAAATTACTAATAAAAAGTATAAATATAAATAAAATTGAGTCACAAATATAAACATTATCATGTCTAAACATATATTACAGTATAATAAAGTCTATTGAATAAACAAACTAAATAGAGGACAGACATAAACAATTAAATAAGCATTAAGTTCAGTAGATAATTACAATGTGGATGATCTAGTTTGATTATAAATAATTAACAAAAAAGTTTAACTAACAAACATAGTATACATAAAGAATAATCATTTATCATACCGACAAAAAAGAAAAGAGTCCATCATTCTTAGTTCTAAATTTGTTTCTACTATAAAAATGATATAGATCTTTATTTTAGTTTAAAAGATTTTTTGATCAATTATATTTCAAGTATAAAAAATATGGGAGAATGATAAATAAAGACTGTAAAAATTATAGATACAGTATTTTAATAGGTTTTGACAACTTATAAATAACAATATATTTTTATGAATATACCTAGTTTTAAATTTTGCAATTTTCATGTTTTTTTGGTTATTTTTCCCACAGCTATAGTGATTCTTTTTTTCTTTTTGTGAATGCTATCTATGTGAGCTGCCAAGATAAATAAAACTAAGAGTATGCTATGTTTAAAATATTAGGGTTTTCTTTTTTAAGTTAAGAAAAAAAGACAAAAATTAAAAAAAAAAAATTTGGCGGGCCTAAACGGGCCGGCCCGTTTATTTTCCGGCCCTACAGGGCTGGCCCTTTTAAGCCCGACTTCTCTTTCAAGGCTCCAAAATATAAGCTCGGCCCTCGACTTAAACGGGCTTAAACGGGCCGGCCCGACGGGCTCTGCCCGTTTTCCCGGCTCTATCCCCAAGTACTCTTTTTCATCCTTTTTCTTATCTATTATAAGGGTATATTTGAAAATAAAACTATATCTTTAGCATATTATTTATTACTTTTAATTAATTTTAACTACTTGTTCGTTGCCTGTGAATTAGTTATTTAAAACTTATAATAAGAACGAGAAAGAGTATTTAAGACTAGAGGTAGTACCATTTATAAGCTATTGACTTTTTATAGAAATTAACTCAGTTGGTCCTAAATGTAAGAGCTAATTAAGAGATTTGTTTGGATTTTATATGCAAGATTTCAATTTGCTTTGTCTCATAAATTTATAATTCATTTTAAAATTAATTTTATCGATTGCATTTTTATCCATGAGGGCAGCTTCTAAGGCAAATGTTTGAAGGGATATTTTAAAAAAACTAACATATATTTAATATAAGTAACTAACTTAACTAGTTATATCTAGGACTAAAAGAATCAGATTACAATTGTTTCTATTCATTTTTCAGTTAGTGGGATGATAGTCAATCCAGTCTGGGTTATTGAGTTTCGAATATAAAAAAATCATGTTCACTCATCACAATCAAGCGATTCTTTTAAAGTCAACATCAACCCTTTACATCGATCCCTTGTTATGTATGTGAGTATCGACAGTTTAATCAATGTATATATATACTCCTCTAGTTCTAAATATAAGACTCTTATATACACTAGTATAAAGGTCTTATATTTAGGACCAGAAGAGTGTATATAACAGTTTATCTCCTTCCTTCACAGATTTAGTTCTCTCTCAAATCCCTTCACAAATTCAAATAAAAATTAATTGAAGCAGTGATATATAAATTCTTTTGTGTTCAGAAAAATAGTGGCAACCCCAGATCATTATTATCTTTATGCTAATCATTTGTTGTTAAAAGCAGATGTGTGAAGCAGGGAGTAAACCAGAAGATCTTTTTTCCTTGGTATGTGAACTTGCCAGTATAAACTCAAAGCCTCCACTAACAAACTTTGCTTCTTACAAATAACACCTTCAGGGCAAGCCTATCACTACTACAAATCATGTCCCACATTCTGTTGAAACAACATTTCAAACTCACACATATGTAAGGTCATAATGTTAACAAGAGACATCCTGAACCAAAATTTGTAATGCAATTTAATTTACAATCGCACACATGTATTTTCCAACACGAAAATTAAACACTTATCACCATATTATTATATATATTTTGTGAATTAGAGGGGTAGGCACTAATAGCCCGTAGCCCCTAACCTCTCACTTCTTCAAGGCCATTTACATATTGGTCATATTATTATTGAACACCTTACATACACCATTTTTTGACAGGCTAGTCTGACGCAACACTATTATATATATATATATATATATATAATAGTTACAGATAATCCTTTTCTTTGCAGCATTCAATTGCATCCAACAACATTTCCTCAAGCCCATACTTGTACTCAAATCCAGCATCTATGAGCTTCTTAGATGACAGATCTAGAAATCTCACGCCACTGCTTTTTTCCAAGGAACTACAATGAATATAAGAGGAGACAAGTGATTTACTTGAACTGAATTTTCATATCAGCTCAAACAAGAAGAATAAGGACAAGAGAACTCTTACTCCATGGGTGGTATCTTAAATGCTGGGTGTTTAGCAGACACTATTTCAGCCACTTTTTCAATGGTTGCCAAACATTTAGAACAATTATATCTCCCTTTTGGATTGGGATGTTCAAGCAGAAATATATGTGCTCTTGCCACGTCATCAACATGAACCATAGGTGTTTGCTGATATCTATATGGGCCCTTCATGCCTGCATCAGAATTTAAATGACATACAGAACTAAACTATCTCCATAAACCAAATAAGATTATAAATAAATGTTCAGAACTAAGCTGAAGCATTGTACCAGGTAAAAAAAAGAGTGCTGAACCAACAGAACCAGGAAGGTTAGGACAGATGAAGGGTCCAACAACAAAAGTGGGAATCAAAGTGACAACATCTAATCCATTTTGTTCTCCGAATGTAAGCACAGCTTTCTCTGTCAATGTCTTAGAAACTGCATAAGACCATCCAAATGTCTTCGAAGTTCTAAGCAAATCCACGTCAGTCCATGAGCTCTCATCCTTCACTTCATCTTCTTTGCCAAGATAATCAACAGCAGAGGCACTGGAAGTGTAAACGACTCTCTTCACAGTCTTTGAAGTAAGGCAAGCTTTCAGAATACCCAATGCTCCATCAATGGATCTTTTGGTCACAATCTCTTCAGGCTCCTTTTCCTCAAAATCCAACGGGGTAGCCACATGGAAAACTCCAATGCACCCTTCAATGGCTTCCTTGAAACTTTCTGGCTCGCTTAGGTCTGCCTTCAGAATTCGCAGCCTCTGAGACGCTCCTGGCAAATTTGTAAGGAAGCTCACATCTTTCTTGTGTTCTGCAACGGAAAACAAAATCACAAGATTCCATCTTCCCAGAATATGAAAAGAGGAAAATGATGCTACCTGGATCTGTAAAATATTGCCGAATTCAGATGAACAAAGAAAGATACAAAGGTTTTGAGTTGAACAAGACAAACCCAACAGGGAAAAACAGAGTTAGACAGTGAATTGACAGTTTATATATTTGTTTCAGATAAATGGATAGAGATTGAAACCTGGGTTGGATCTAACGGTAGTATTAACTGAGTAGCCGTCCTCAAGAAGTCTCTTGACGAGCCAGGAACCAATGAAGCCAGTACCACCGGTAACACAAACTCTTCCTTTTCCCTCTTCCATTCGGAGAAGAACAGAAGCGCGAGCGTTTTGTCGAAGAAACAGAGAATCAAGAGATACATGTAGGACACAAGCATAGTTGTCCTTTTCTTTCTGGGACACATGGTCCATCCATAAACAAACACGTTCACTTCATTTCTCTCGACCTGTCCTTATGATTTGCTGTGACGAGACAACTCAAAATTTTGGAAAATTTTAATTTCACTGGTCTAACTTTAACTTTCGTCATTCTTGCGTGGTAGTGATGGAATGCTAGTTTCCCATCTCCCTTAATTTGTTACTAGAGCCTCTCAGGCCTAAAATTTGAAGATAAATTTCTCATCTTTCTCATTGCTTTGGAAAAAAACTCTCATAGTATCGAGATAAAAAAAAAATAGATATAAAGAAATATTAAAAAATTTATATTTACAAGTCAAATTTAAGGGTTTATATTTATAAATGAAATTTTCATATTTTATATCAAATTGTGTTATTTACAAGTTAAACTTGTAGAACTTGTGAAAAATTAAATTTATTAGTATCTCTCTATGTTTAATTTTTTACTTAAAATTTATGAGTAATTTTTTCCTTATTCTGAAAAAGAGTATTCCTCTTTATTTACAACATGTTTTGCCGGAAATAAGAAAAATCTTAAATATTATTAATGGTGTTTTAAAATTTAATAACTTTCATATAATAAATTTCATGAGGTGGATTATTATAACATGGGCTAAAATATGATAGGACAAGAGGAATATTACTTCATTTTCATGCATGCACCGAGAGGGCCAAAATGAGCAAAAAGTCAATCTCGAAATCATGAACATAAAGAGAGGAAGAGGTGGGTATTCATTTCTTTTCATTTTCTTTGTTGATATTTGATAACAAAGCCGCATTATGATTTGTGATCATGACTTTGATTTCAGCTAAATCATTATTGGAAGAAGGAAAATTATTCTAAAATTTCTTTTTGCCAACAAATTACTTCTATACAGAAGAAAGATGAAAAATCATTCAAAAGTTCTGTTTAAATTTTGGCCCTCTTTTTCTGTTAATCCTATTTTTCAGGATATGATTTCTTTGCACTTTCTCTTTACTTCCTGTTTCAATTCTTAGATCAAATTTTAAATGGATAGAATTTATCCTGCTTAGCTCAAATGTAGACTGAAAGTTAATTATATGGCCTTCTACCACCACTATATTTTCTTTCAATCATATTCTATCCTATTTCTTGCCCAATAAGATGCCTAATCTTTAACCCAAACTTGCATCAAAGTTTAGACTAGTGATATAAAAAAAATTTACTCAATTTCTCCATGATTTTTCTTCCATCTTAGCAGAGTTCACTTGTCATCGCCTCTCTCGTTTTATTTGCAAGGTCCAAAGAAGATTATTAGGTTTTATAAAGGTTAAGATTTGATTTATGAGGGGATTAATTTATATAGAAATATATATATTTTTATAAAAATATACTTTTTTAAATATTTTTTTTATACAAATATACTAGCTATCTATGTAACCGAACCCACCTATGAAAAGACTTCATTGTTGGTGTTATATATTTATATATATATATTAATAAAAATAGTATATTAACATATATTTTATAAAAATATATTATAATATGGAGTACTGTAACCTTTTTTGAAATTTATCTTGATTATATGGAGCTTCCCTGTATTTTCAAATCACACGCTTTGATCTATACTATTAACTATGTTAAGAATATCCTAAAAGCAAAATTTATTTTAAAATAATTTGATTTACTAGTTTACCCTTCATTTATTTTAAATCCCAGAATTTTGCCCAAATTATTTGAAGAATTTCAGAGGTTCTTTTCCTTATTTTTATTTATTTAATATTTTTATCATATTGGAACAGAAGTTTAAGTAATTTAGTTAAGGTAAGTATGACAAACTTGAATGAGAATTTGATTGTTTCTCTTAATAGACATATACCTGACTAAATTTATTTATAAATTTTGCAGCAAGAATCTGTTTAAAAGTTTTAAATAATAAATTTAAATGGTCTATATAATCGCTTAAACTTACATTATTTATCCTATATGAAGAATAAAAATCATATGTTTAGCCTTTTAAAAGAAATCTAAATGAAAAGTTCCAATACATGTGATAAAAAAAATTAAAATTTCAAAATTTTATAAGATAATCAAAATTAATAACATAAGCTGGTAAAAGACAGCAATTCCTCATTAAATGCGAGATGCCAGATGCAAGAAAAAAACAGAGACACAAAAATACACCTTTAATTCTATAAATTTACGCAAATTTTCATTTTGATTTAATTTACAAGGTGTATTTTTTTAGTATTTTAATCTGAGTATTGTTAACAACATATGCTGACATTAATATTTTAAATATTGAGAAAACATTCTTAAAATTGATATACCAAATTTAGTTTTTTTCCTCAAAAAACAATAATTAGCCTGAAAAATTATCATTTGAGAGTAACAACGTTTGAGTTAAAAGACCAGAAAGACAGTATTTTATAAAATTAAGAGGCTAAATCAAAAATTTATATGAAATTTACACTTTTGTTATAGAATATCTATGAGCCAAACAAAATTTCTAATGAGCCGGTTAATATTTACAAAGATACATACCAGCCAATAATTTGCCACTTTTATTTTCAATCACAACATATTTTCTATAAAGACAAATAAAACACCTTCTATATATCATATTTTCATAGGATAATCAGGAAACTCTTTATCCTATAACTCTACAGATAACCCTTTTCTTTGCAGCATCCAATAGCATCCACCAACATTTCCTCAAGTCCATACTTGAACTCAAACCCAGCATCTGTAAGCTTCTTAGATGACAGATCTGAAACTTTCAGGCTAGCTCTTTCTCTTAAGGAACTACAACAAATAAGAGATCAAATTATGGAAGACAAGTCATTTACTTGAATCAAATTATCATATCTTTGCAAAGAAATTAAACATGATGAAGGTCAGCAGAACTCACTCTATGGTTGGAATTTGAAGTTCTGGAAATTTAGCAGACACAATTTCAAGTGGTTTTTCAACAGTAGCCAGACATGAAGAACAATTATATCTTCCCCTTGGCTTAGGATGTTCAAGCAGAAATACATGTGCTCTTGCCACGTCATCCACATGCACCATAGGTAGCTGCAGATAAGCAAATGGGTCTTTCTTACCTGCATCAGAATTTCGGAGACACCAACATTTAATGACTTACAGAACTAATTAAATTATCTGCAAAACCAAATAAGATTATAAATAAAGGTTTAGAACTACGTTGAAAGTGACATGGAGCAAGTTGAAGCATGTACTTAATAAAAAATAGAGTGCCGAACCAACAGAACCAGGAAGCTTAGGACAAATGAAGGATCCAACAACAATACTGGGAAGCACAGTGACAACATCTAATCCATTTTGTTGTCCATATTCAAGCACTGCTTTCTCTGTCAATGTCTTAGAAACTGCATAAGACCATCCAAATGGTTTTGAAGTTCTAAGAGAATCCACGTCAGTCCATGAGCTCTCATCCTTCACTTCCTCTTCTTTGGCACTATAATTAACAGCAAAGGCACTGGAAGTGTAAATGACTCTCTTCACAGTTTTTGAAGTGAGGCATGCTTTCAGAATTCCCAATGCCCCATCAATGGATCTTTGGGTCACAATCTCTTCAGGTTCCCCTTCCTCAAAATCCACTGGAGTAGCCACATGGAATACTCCAATGCACCCTTCAATGGCTTCCTTGAAACTTTCCGGCTCGCGTAGGTCTGCCTTCAGAATTTGTAGCCTCCGAGATGCTCCTGGCAAATCTGTGAAGAAGCTCACATCTTTCTTGTGTTCTGCAATGGAAAACAAAATCATAAGATCCCATCTTCCCAAAGAGGAAAATGATCCTAGCTAGTTGAATCTGTAAAATATTACTGAATTCAGATAAACAATGAAAGATAGAAAGGTTTTGTATATGAACAAGACAAACCCGACAGAGAAAAGCAGTTCATATATTTGGTTCAAATAAATGGGCAAACATTGAAACCTGGCTTGGATCTAACGGTAGTAGTAACTGAGTAGCCATCTTCAAGAAGTCTCTTAATGATCCAAGAACCTATGAAGCCAGTACCACCAGTAACACATACTCTGCCTTTGGTGTCTTCCATTCGGAGAAGAACGCAGTTTTGAGCCTTTTGTTAAAGCAACAAAGAATCAGGAGACACACAGGGCAGAAGTATATTTGCCCTTTTCTTTGTCATTGGCACTGTCGCGACAGAGCCATCCAAAAACAAACACGTTTCATCTTTTGGTTCGCAGTAATTAGAAAACTCAGAATGTTGGTAATTTTTAATTTCACTGGATTAGCTTTCGTCAGTCTTGCGTGGTAGTGATGGAATACTAGTTTCTCCTTTCGCCTAGTTTACCGTTAGAACGTCCCAGCGCCCAGAAGTCAAATTTCTCATCTTTCTTGTTGCCTTTAAGAAAAATCACCTATAGTATCTAGATAAAAGTATCAGATACAAAGAAAGGAATATTAAAAAAATTTACATTTACTAATCAAATTTAACGGTTCATATTTATCAATGAAACCTCCACTTAATATAATATCCTGTTTGATTTTTATTTTGATCCTAAATATAAAACTTCAATCCATTTTGTTATAAGACCTCAATCCATTTTGTTTATTATATTTATGCATTTTTTTCAAGATAGTTCTTCTAATAATAATAGTTTTAGTTGATACACTTGATTAGTAAAGATATTTTAGGAAAGACAATACGTATTTATTACAAATAACTTAGCTTTTTTTAATATATATAAATTAGTCAATTAATTTTTATAAATAGGACTGGAGGTAATACTTTATTTTGATACATGTAGCAAGAGAGTCAAAATTAGCCAAAAAGTGAACTTTCAAAATCATGAGCATAGGGAAAGGGAAAGGTAGGTATTCATTTCTTTTCATTTTCTTTGTCGATAAAAAAGCTACAATGTGATCATGATTTTGATGGAAGATGAAAAACTACTTCTAGAATTTTTTTTTTGTCAACAAATTACCTTCATAAAGTTCGGTAGTTGATTTCTTTACATTTTCTCTTTGCTTTCTATTTCAGCCCTTAGATCAAATTTTGAATGAATAGAATTTATCCTGCTTAGCTCAAATCTAAGAAGTTAATTATTGCATGTCCTTCTACTACTATTATACTACATTTTATTCTTAATATAAGAACCAGTTGATTAAAATAAGTAAATTAAAAAAAATTAGTTAAATTAGTTATTTATAATAAATAGACGTTATCTTTTTTAAAATACTTTTGCTAATAATATATGTGCTAGAATTATCATTCAATAAAATTTTTAACATATGCAACTACTACAAAGAATACATTAAGAAATGAATAAATATGAGAAATAAAGTAGATTGGAGTCTTATATTTAAAACCAAATTAAATGTTAAATTAGTTTTTATATTAATGATTGGTGGTAGTATTTTCGTTTAATCATATTCTATACCATTTCTTACCACATAATCAACCTAATCCTTAATCCAAAATTAAAAAAGATGATCGGTTGTTCACCTATATTTTAGGAAGGAAATTAAATCAGGATGTTACACCTTGAATCTTGATTTTGCATTAAAATGAGTAATCACATTTTGTGGGATTAGAGGGGAGAAGATGTCTTTCTTCATGATTTTTCTTCCATCTTAGCAGAGTCGTCATTGCCTCTCTTGTTTTCTTTCCAAGTGTCAAACGAAGATTAGGTTTTATAAAGGTTAATCTTTGATTTACGAGAGGATTTTTTTTTTTTTGCCGTTTACGACAGGATTAATATATGGGATTAAGGTATATTTTTAAAATATTTTCTCGGGTACATATAGCAACTTAAAATATGTTATAATATATCTGGCACCCTAAAATATTTTTTTAAATCTGTTCAGTATCTTAAAGGATATTTTGGTGCATTTAGCACCCTAAGACCAAAAAATACTTTAGGGTACTAAATGTTCTTGAAAAATATTTGAAAATGTTATACGCACCACAAAATGCCCTAGAATATTAGATACACCTTAACCCTAATTGAAATATATGTTTTTATAAAAAATAGTATATTTTATAAAAATACATTATAATATGGAATAAAATATTGTAACCTCTTTTGAAATAGGGTAAATTGCAAAAAAAGACTCTGAAATTTAAAAAACATAGATAAGGACTTGTGACAACTTTATTATGGGTTTCGACAACTTTATGATCTATTATTATTATCATCAAAAGCCATAGTGAAATTGTCAAAACTTCTTATCTGCGTTTTTCAAATTTCAAAATCTTTAATTACGATTTTTCCTTTAAAATTTATCTTAATTTTATGGACCTCCCCTTTATTTTCAAATTACAGACTTAAAATCTAAGCTATTAGCTATGTTTAGAATATTCTAAAAGTAAAATTTATTTTAAAATAAATTTCACTTACTAATTTACCCTTCGTTTATATTAAATCCATAATTTTGGCGCAAATTATTTTAAAGAATTTAAGAGTTTGTTTTCTTATTGGGTTCATTTATTTATTTAATGTTTTTATCATGGTACTGAACTTTAAGTAATTTAGTTGATGTAAATATAACAAACTTAATAGAAAATTTGATTAATTCTTTTAATAGACACATGCTTGACTAATGTATTATCAACTTTGTAGCAAAAATGTGTTTAAAATTTTTAAATAATAAATTTAAATGGTCTATATAATCTCTTAAATATATTTTTAGCTATTTGAAAGAAATCTACACGGAAAGTTTCGACAAATGTGATAAAACATTGAAATTATAAAATTTTATAAGGTAATCAAAATTAATAAAATTAACAACATAAGCTGATTTGACAGTAGATCCCTCATTAACTGCAAGATGCCAAACCCAAGCTAGCAGATGGGCCGGATCACTAGGATGCAGTGAGGCTTTCACTTCATCCATATGTTTCAAAGTATCCAAAATATTCCGGTCAACAAAAAAAAAAAAGTATCCAAAATATCATGGGGTGGAAGGCAAAAATGCTCTCATAAAAATACACTCTTAATTTTTTAACTTCACACAAATTTTATTTTGACTTAATTTATAGAGTGTATTTTTATTTTTTTAATGCTAGTATTGTTAATAAAAGATGTTGACATTGATATTTCAAATATTTTCGGAACATGCTCAAATACCAACACTAATATAGCAAACTTAGTTTTTAAAACTAACACTAATTAGCAGAAAAAATTATCGTTGGAAAGTAACACCTGTAACATCCTGAGTTTTATCAGGTTTTAATAGCCTCTTTTGGGTTGATTTTGAGGATAGATTAGCAATTTAATCTTGATCTTGGTGTTTGGGTTGGATTTGAGGTTTGTTGGAGGAATAGGTGAATGTACCCCTCTCAAGGTATGTTCGCATTCGCCGAGGCGCACCGGGAGTTTCAGAGGGGAGTGTCTTCTCGGGAAGGTTTGGCCGTGGCGAAGTCATAGGGACGCCGCAGCGAAGTTGTTCAGGTGAGCGAGGCTTCCCTTTTGGGAAGGTTTCGCCGCGGCGAAGGTAAGGGCATGCCGCGGCGAAGTTCTTCTGGGCGAGCGAGAGTTTCCTCTCGAGAAGCTTTCGCCGCGGCGAATATTGGAGTTCGCCGCAGCGAAGTCGGGTTTTCAGGCGAGTGATCCCTCTCGAGATTAGTTCACCGCGGCGAAGATTGAGGTTCGCCGCGGCGAAAGGTCCTGAATCTATATAGTCGCTGGAGGGTTTAGTTGTGCGAAAATTAGAAAATCTGAAGGAGGAGAGAGGAGCTCTGCTAGGGTTTCGGTTTTGAGGCTTGGGAAAGACATTTCTAAGGATCCACTACCTCAAGTAAGTGATTTTAACCTCTAATCTTCTTTCTTTCTTGGAATTTCTTGGAATTTCTGAGGATTTGTGGTGGAACCCTATGATTTTCTAGGTTGTGATGGAACTGATGTTTTGACCGATTGTTTTGAGTTTAATTGATTGCATTGGGTTAGTTTAAGTGTTTAATCGGTGTAGTTTCCTTGGATTTAAAGAATCTTGAATTTTTGGAGTTAGGGTTTATGGAAATAGATGATTTGGGATTGAGGATGACAATGTAGGGGTTGATTCTGAGTTTTGTGAATTGGGTTATGTTAAGGAGGGTTAAATTGGATGTTTAATCGGTTTAGAATTGTTGTTGGAACCTTAATTGCTCAAATGGAATGTTGGGTGTAGAATTCCATAGTAAGTCCTTGAGGTTGTGAATTTTAATTGATGTTTGGAAAGGAATTAAGGTTTTAATGGATTGGTATGACTTTGGAGTGTTGCCTTGATAGATATACCCTTTGAGTTGAGTAGAGTTTTGATGGGAGATAGGAATTTTGTGTCCCCAAGTGTTGTTTTGGCCACATTATTAGTTTGAAAGCTAATATATGATGGTTGTGTCTTTGTGTGCTTGTGTAGACCGGTTGTGAGTCGTGGTGGTGCGCGGGGGCCACATTGTCGGTTTGTTATTCCTTGCTCAGGCGAGAGGTAACCACTTTCCAATCCTTAGTACTTGCTTCTGTGGTATTGTGAGTAGATTTATGTTTTGTGCTCTAAGTAGTAATTATGTTCAAACTGTATGTTGTGTATAAAAAGGAAAACCGTCTTGTGGGGTTTCGACTAATGATGAATGAATTTTGGAATTGTGAAAGATATGCCACTGAATGAGGTTAATTGTGAAATGATTATTACTCTTTGATTATGATTTGAGCATGATGCATGATTTGGGAATTGGTGAGAGTTTGATAGTTACTACCACGTGGTAAGGCCTCCATTAATGCATGATGGTTGGCTTAGTACGTCCCCCATAGTGAGGGATAGGCCTTTTGGCTCCCTACGTCCCTCAAGAGTGAGGGATAGGCCT